CTTCCGCCGCCTGATGCCAAATCAAAGATCGCATTCTCGCTGCCGCCCACTCTCTACCACCCTCTCTCACCCACCCCCTCTCTCCCACCCTCTCTCTGCCACTCGCACTGTTGCTGTCTCTCGCCGTGTGGCTGTTCCTCTATATTTGCCGCGAGTTTTGGGTGTCACGCGCCAAAAGCGTCGCTGCAGCTTCGCCGTGCAACACTTTGAACGCAGCGATTAGCAAAAGGACACGTACAGGATGCACGCTTATAAACAACAATACACACATGCACACCCCGTCGAGACACGCGCTCACACAAACGCATACACGCGCGCAAACTTAACGGTTAACGAGGCAAACCAGCGGCAAACCTGAGAAGCTGCCAAATGCCATTTGCGTGTGGATGCGAGGGCCGTTCAAACAGATTCTAAATAAAAACCATATCAATATCATATCATATCATATCATATCATATCATATCATATCATATCATATCATATCATATCATATCATATCATATCATCATATCATATCATATCATATCATATCATATCATATCATATCATATCATATCATATCATATCATATCATATCATATCATATCATATCATATCATATCATATCATATCATATCATATCATATCATATCATATCATATCATATCAAGATCATATCATATCATATCATATCATATCATATCATATCATATCAGATCATATCATATCATATCATATCATATCATATCATATCATATCATAGCATATCATATCATATCATATCATATCATATCATATCATATCATATCATATCATATCATATCATATCATATCATATCATATCATATCATATCAAATCATATCATATCATATCATATCATATCATATCATATCATATCATATCATATCATATCATATCATAGCATATCATATCATATCATATCATATCATATCATATCATATCATATCATATCATATCATATCATATCATATCATATCATATCATATCATATCATATCATATCATATCATATCATATCATATCATATCATATCATATCATATCATATCATATCATATCATATCTATCATATCATATCATATCATATCATATCATATCATATCATATCATATCATATCATATCATATCATATCATATCATATCAGATCATATCATATCATATCATATCATATCATATCATATCTATCATATCATATCATATCATATCATATCATATCATATCATATCATATCATATCATATCATATCATATCATATCATATCATATCATATCATATCATATCATATCATATCATATCATATCATATCATATCATATCATATCATATCAGATCATATCATATCATACATATCATATCATATCATATCATTATCATATCATATCATATCATATCATATCATATCATATCATATCATATCATAATCATATCATCATATCATATCATATCATATCATATATATCATATCATATCATATCATATCATATCATATCATATCATATCATATCATATCATATCATATCATATCATATCATATCATATCATATCATTGAAAACTTCAAATCTTTCCCTAGTCACATCTCAAGTTTTATTTTAACAAATATTTTTAATAAATCTTTTCCAACTGTTCAATCATGAATGTATATATATATTTATATATTATATTAAGAATTGATTTATTTATTTTATTTTTTGTTTTTTATAATTTAAACTATACTTATATGACCGACCTTTCCTTTCATTCTAAGTTCAAGTTTATCACAATTTATAAAAATGTAAAAACTATTGCAGACAACTTTTTTAATTATTTCTCAAATGCAACTTATCGATTGACTTTGATAAAATAACCCACGTTTGGTAAATGTTAGAAACCCGATTTTGAATCTTTCACTATATGCCGTGCAAAACCGGTTAACATTTGTTTTGGAGCATATTTGCTGGAGTATATGCTGAATATTTTCCAACAATCAGAATTCATACTTATACAACAATCTAAGAGTTCCTACAAGAGACTATTGCCTATTTATGGTAAGTATATATAGATATATATATATATATGTAGATATATATAGCCATATACTATGGAGTCCGACTTAAAGTGATATATAGCACCAAATTAGAATTGATCGCAAAATAGAAATATATAAAATTCGTATTTTATGCAGAAGTAAATACTTGATCTTCCATTAACAAGCTCACTTGAATAATGAGTATTCGAGTTATAGTAAAAATGAATTAATAGAATATTATAATAAATTATTTAAAATAAATTACTTACTCACTTTTTTAAAAATGCGGGACACTGCAGCAATTCTTGAAGTGCCCCAAGAAAGTTTCGTGTGCCTGGCAATATGCTTTCATATTTTCAAAGTAATTCTTGTGTTTTTCTACTTTTTTATTTTTCTACATTTTTTTTTTTTTATTTGTTATTGTGTTGGCCATCATGCATTTTCCTAACGATTTTCATGCAGTTGCAATTTGCGTATACGTGATATGCGAATTGGCTAAAATTTGTAGTTAAAGTTTTCAAAAAGAATTTTCAAACTTTTCCATAAACAGCCGATTAAAAGCAATTAAAACGTCATAATAAATCGAATATTTTGATGATAATTTCAATTGAAACCAAAAAGCAATTTGCATTTTAAGCCCTTGCTTCATGGCGAAATGCAAAATCAAATTAAAATACATATTAATGCAAATAAAATACGTTCAAAAATAGACAAAGTGCACTTTTCATACTTTAATCAAATATGGTTTCTGGGAAATGACAAAAAATAAAAAAAAACAAACAAACAAAATGCAAAAGTATAAAAAACGAAAAACAAGTCAAACTTTAGATCCCATGAAAGTAAAGTTATTCTTGCAGTCTCAATTAAATACTTTTACATATTTATTTGCAACTGAACATTCGGACATCAAATGGCCAAAAAGATGGAAATGGAAATAAACCACAAATATGCTTTCAACTTTAAAAACAGAACTTTCGCCAGCTTGGGAGACGCAAGCCACAAAAAAAAGAACTCAGATAAAAACTAAAATAAAAAAAAAAGGCAAAAAACGAACTTTTTCACTCATTTTTTTCGGAAATATTTTGAAAACGCACACAAACACACACACACACACGCACACGCACAATATGAATCCCCAGAAGCGCCACATTCATCACATAAATATTTGGAAAAGTTTTCAAAAATAAACAATTATTTATGGTTTGGTACTTACTGTTGGAAAAATGTCCTGAGAACGACGCACTTTTCAGTCGTTCGAATCCAGTGAGAATTTTGTGCACATTTTGTGCGTAAGCAATCAACAAATTCTTACACCGCAGAGTTAATAATAATATGAAAACACAACCAAAAAAAATGCAACAAACAATAAAAAAATAAAGTGAAGACACAAAACTAACACAAAATGTTGTGCAAATTAAAATTTGAGCTCCAAAAATGCAAATAGTTTCGACTTTTCTCTCAAATTTCAAATAATATTTATTTTTTTGAACTAGTTCTTTTATTTTTTTAATTAATTTTTTGGTTTTTGTTCTGAATGAGCTACGAGATCTTTAGCACTGCACTTGCACAAAAAAACAATAAAAAAAAGTATTGATAGCGAGTTGCTGATTGCTGTTGTTGTTGGCGAGCAACATGAGCGTTTGAGAATTTGATTGAAGTTTGAAGTGTTGAGTTTTTGAATGTTCAGAGTTCTGGTTCTGCTCAGCTGCTGCTCCACAACTCGCCCTGGCGAGCGTTCAAATGAAACTGATGCGATAGCGCAACAGTCGCAGGAATATAAAGCAACCAGCACGCCCACGACAAGAGCGCCATAAAACCAACGCACACTAACGAAGAGCGCACGAGGCGAACGAAACGAACGAGACGAACGATGCGACTGCCGCGACTGCGGCGACTGAGGGGAATGAGGGGAGGGAGCGCAACGCCTCCTACACAGTGGAGCACGAACGAATGCACAGCCGCAATACACGAAGCATAATAAACACCTGTAAACGCAGTCATCGTCGACGTTCGGGTTTGTTCGCTGCCGCTGCCGGCGTCGCTGCCGCTATAATGCCGGCACAGTCGTTGTATTTTTTATTTGCGAGAATGCGAGAGCATGACAGTGCGAGAGTGTGCGTGGGAGTGGGACAGCAATAGAGAGCGCACGACTAGCGCTCCTCGCGGAAGCGGAAGGAAACTCAACAGTTGGCACATTACGGCAGCTACTTGTTGTTGCTTGCTTTGCTAGCTTTCCATACACTTTATGGCAAGCTCATTTATTGCATTTATTGCACACATACACGAACAGAAGACACACACACGCACACATACAAAAGCATAGCCTATGCGTTAAGCCGACGCCAACGGTCAGCATTATCATGACGCTTCTGCCCCAACGCCGCGGTGTGCATCAGTTCATCCAAGCGCAGCAGCTGCATGCTATCTCTTGCTAGCGCATCCACCACGGTTGTGGCCAATCTATCCTTAAGCAGTCCCAAACGTCGCAGCACTCGTCGCACCTTTCTGGCAAACTTTCTGCCTGGCTCTGATGTTGGCTTTGATGTTGGCTTTGCAGTTGCCGGTTCAGGCTCGGGCTGGGCAGCAGCCTCACCTTGCCTAGCCGGACGCAGCTCGACCAGCGCCAGACTGTTGCTTTTCTCGACATCGATGCCAGTTGGGAATTCCAAGCGATCGCGTTGGGCAGCGGCCAGTACGACGCAAAGCAGCAGTAAAAAGGTGCAACGCATTTTTTTTTTTTTTTGGTTTTTTGGTTTCTTTGCAGTATTCAGTTTCAGTTGGAACAGCTTTCTGTGCTCTTCTCGGCCAAGTTGTCGCTACTTATAGGCCAAAACTGACACGACAGAGAGACAGTTTAGCTGACTGTCAATGTGTGGCAGCGTTCAGACATTAGATAAGCTTTGATTTATTTACAACTATTTTAATTAACTTTTTTTGCATTTCCTGACTATAACGTAGATATGTTTTGTTGCCTGCGTTGGCCGCCCCCGCCCGTTTATAGGCCCTTCTCCAGTTCCATGCGCATCGCGTTCAATAATTCCGGCAATAGCGCCACATACTTATCCACACAGTCCAAGGAGCAGCGCTCGACACGCCCGCCACAGTTATCATCTTCGCCGGGCAACTGACACTGGCGCAGACAATCCTCCAGCTGGGACTCGAACTCGGCCAGCTCCTGTTGCACATAGCAGCGGGCGCGCGTCAGCGGCATTTGGCAGCGATCAACGCAACGCTGTACCGCATCCGCACTGGCGTTCATATCGGCACAACAGCGTTTGGCACATCCGTGCATCGTCAGCTGCAGTTTGCGCAAATGCTCCCGATCCATGTCGTCGACGGCATTGATGAGCGCATTGTCAATGCGTTCACGCTGCTCCATTAAATTGGGATTCTCGCCCATTTTCTGGTCGCGTCTTTTATGTTAGTTGAGTGAACAATTTTTGGGTATATTTCGGATGTCATATGGAGTACGATAGCTTTAGTAAATGAAAAAGATTGCTTTGTGTGCTCACAACAAAATATTGCTAGCTCCTAGCTTCCAGATGCAGCGAATAATGGCTGCTATCGATAACTTATCGATATACATTGCCAAACATACTAGTTCGTAGTTACGTACATTATCTTGGCACTTATTTTTGATGCAATGTGGAGTACGCTAGCTTCAGTAACCAAAAGCTGATTGCATTGTGCGCTCACAACAAAATATTGCTAGTTCATAGTTTGCAGGTGAAGCAATTGATGGCTGCTATCGATAACTTATCGATATACATTGTTATTGCTCTTGCCACTTATTTCAGATTTCATATGGAGTAGAACAGCTACAGTAAATGAAAAAGATTGCTTATCGAAGTTCGTACTTGGCAGATATAGCCAATAATTTCTGTATTTGATAGCTTATCGATATACAATGCCGTTGTTCTTGTCACCTTTCTTAAGTTGATAAACATTTAAGTCTTACGTTGTGTATGTTGCAGCATATGATATTGTGATGAATAAATCCACTAAGTCAATCGATTAACATTTCGATAACGATATCAACCAAACCACATACTGTGTTATATTATCGATATTTTTCTTAAACAAACAAATGTTTGTCACTTTAATAGCCTTCTCACAGATAATTAACAGATTATTAATCAAATTTGATATTGATGTATATCGATAACTATCGAGAAAACCACAGTTAACAATGCAAAGTCGAATTGGCCGATTTCCTTGTACTAGTTTGCCTTTTGTTCAGCTATTATGCAAATTTCTCCATAAATTTGTTCCACTTTGAATGCACGTCGTGTGCCATTTAAATAACATTTATCGATAATTTATTTAGCTAATCGATTGCAGGACCATTGAGAGCCTACCTTTCCCCCAGCCACAATAATGTAATTATTTGTTTTAGGCTACGGACTGTTCTGCCACCAGCTTAGCCACGCCCCCCCCTAACTATCCCCCTCCCAAACTGCTTTCCCCTTTCCCATACGGCACAAATTATTCATACATGCTCCCAATTGACGAATACAATACAATACAACACAATTGCCATACGTGGCTGCACATTATTTATGTATCCACAAGTAAGCAGAAAATGTGACATACTTTTGGGGGCAACGAAAGCAATTCGAAAATTACTAATAACAAATATATTCAAATTGTCTTGCTCCACAAAGCCGTGCAGCACAGTTTCATAGAAATTTGCAGGTGCAAAATTTTCCAACCATAGAATCAGTTCTCGATTTGAAAGGCGTTAGAAATAATTTTGTTCTCTCAACTGCCACAATTTTGGTTTTAGAATGGAAACAGTTCGAAAATTATTTCGATTTTAATACAATTTGACAAGTAAAACTTTGTCAAATACATATATTTGAGCAAATTTTAACGTAGAATGTTCACAAAAAGTTCTCTACTATTATTATATGCCGAGTCTCAGTACTCAATACTACTTTGGACTAAGGTTACGTGCATTGAAAATGATCTAGTTCATTTGCAACATAAAGTTGTTCCACTGCTGGTCACTGGCCATACAAATTTCATCAGTCAGAGAACTCTCTAGGCTAATGGCACTATGACCAAGTCATTTAAATATCCGTGTGGCTGTACGTCCGTCTGCCCCTCCGTCTGACCGTCCGTCTGTCTGCCCTTCTGTCCGTCCGTCTGTCCGTCCTGCTGTCCGTCTGTCTGTCTGTTTGTCGAACTGCTATCAATGGGCAATCAATGCGGGAGTAAGGCGCGCCAACGAGTGCAAGAGATAGACATAAAGACAGAGAGAGTGCGAGAGAGAGAGAGCGAGAAAGAGAGAGAGAGAGAGAGACGCCAGTTGAGCAGTTTAAAAATGTGGCAAGAAGTGGCGGCAACAGCGACGAAGGCGACGGCGTTGTCTAACAAAATGTTTTCACATTATTCAAATGAAATGCTTTTTATTGTCTGTCCACAAGCAAACAGCAACAACAAAAATGATAACAATTATAATAAATAACAGAAAAAAAATACCGAGCTATCGATGGCACGCCGACAATCAAATATCCTTGCAGACACACATACTATTCACATTAATTCGAATGTTTTGAGCTTTTTTCAATAAAACAGTTTGCATAGAGGCGGGCAGAGATTTATATTTTGTATAACTACTCGGCTGTTCGTACTATTCATGAATATATATACATATATACACATATATGCGTTACGAGACTCGTGACATAGCTCTAAGGCCCTTTGTAAGTGTACAAAACGCAAGCAAATCAACATGATACAACATGCAAACTAAACAAGAAGTACGAGCAGGTGGCGAGAGGCGGAGTGGGGTTGCGAAGAAGAAGTGAAAAAATATTACCTGCATTCATAGAATACAATGAATCATTTTGGTCTTTGTTTCAAATGTGTGCGTGCGTGTGCTTGTGTGTGTGTGTGTGTGTGTGGGCAGTAGAAATGGAGTGGGAGCTGGGACAACGGGGATACGGGGGTACGGGCGGCTAGCACAAGAATTGGCAGCGAAATGGCGCGACAGTCGCCGAGGAATGGGCAGGCCGGGGCAGGGGTATGGCAAGTGTAGTGTTTGGATGTCTTTGAGCAATCAACGGTAAATGCAATTTCAATTTTCATTAATCTGCTTGGTTAAAAGGCATGCACACTAATATCCACACTCACACCCATACACACACACACACACACACACACACACACACCCACTGAGCACGCACAACCATATATAAAACGTACACAGCGCGGCTGACAGGATAGAGCAGGACGAGGTGGGTCGCGTGGGCGGGCGCAGAGGCAGACGAGAACAAAGAATGCCAAGGAATTGTGCGAGCTGAAAGTTGTGCGCTTATCGGCGACTGTCAAAATGTAATGTGTGTGTATGTGTGTGTGCCGCACGATAGACAAACAAAAAGCGTTGACGTAGGGTGAGCGAGAGAAAGAGAGCGAGAGAAATGCAAATAAAAGCGAGAGCGATCCAGCAATGCAATGCCTTGTTACAAACACAATGCACAGAGAGAAAACGATGGAGAGAGTGAGTATAAGCGGGAGTGAGGAGCGAGAGAGAGAGAGTGAGCTAGGGACGGCAGGGGGAGGGGAATACTTTTGCACAGAGATGGAAAGATTTGATTAGAAATTATTTGTCATTTTGCTGCCATTGAACCAGTGATTCGGTTTATGAACCAATGGAGAACATAAAGAAAATTGTTTGCATTTATCTTCAAGCTCTGCAATGCCTGATTTGCTGAAGCAGTTGATGACTCGAGTACAATTCAAACTGCAATTGAGAGCATTGCACTTTGCTTCTACGATTGCTTTAATGAAAACGTTTTCAATAGTGAGTGCAACTAGTTCAGTTTAATACGAGCTTTTGTCACCTAAAAACATGCATTACGATTCTTGTGAATCTGTTCGTTCGGTTTGTTTCATTTGCAACATTACGTCAAAGGTTAAGTGGTTCATTTACTAATTCAGTCTACAATTGGTACCCAAATATTTATGCAACATTCAACAAATTGACGGATATGTACAATTGTGGTTCTTTCTCTGGTTCCACGACTGGTTAATTGTAGACTAAACACCAAGAGAGTAAAGATTTAATTGACTGCCGAAAACTTACTGGTTCATTAACTGGTTCATTCTTCAGCTCGTTTAATAGTTGTCTTAAGAAACTGACTGATATGCACAGCTTTTGCTTTAAGCTATTATGTGAAAAATACGCAACACTTGTAAGTGATCCATTTACTGGTTCGTTGTAAAAGCAGTAGAAGAGCGTCATATGCAAAATGTAGTACACAGATACTCTGCTTTAAAAGCACTTGACGTTAAGAAGACTTTCGGCTGCCATTCCCAACAGATTCATAAGACATTCCATGTTATAAGACAGCAGCAAGCAGCAAAAATGTGATATGAGCCATGACGTGGCACGGCGCTGAATGGATGTTGGCCCGGTTGCGTGGGGGGTGGGGGGGGGGGGGGGGGGGGGGGGACTGTGGACTGTGGCCCAGTCAATGGCCCAGAAGCGAAAGCATAAGCATTGAGAGCCAGCCTAGGCCTATATACAGTAAATGCATGCATATCTGGGTTGCCTTGGCGTTGCCTCAAAGTGACAAGTCAAGCAGAGCCAAAAAGCCAGAGCGACGTCCCCAGCAAGGACATGCCACGAGGATTGGCCTCAGCAATGATTGCGACAACGACTGCGGCTTGTGTGATATGTTAATTTGGCCTAAACTACACGACGCTGCACGTTGCGACCGTTGCCAGTAAAAATCCCCAAGCATATATATATATATATAGACATACATATATATGTATATATATTAAAATATCAACAACAAGAAGATGAAACGTGTAACACATTCGCCAGTTAGCGCAGGATTTCAATGTGCCAACGCTTCACGAAATTGCATACCCTGTACAAATGTGCGAGCCTATGTGACAGGCAGAGCAGTAGATACACAAGCCCAAAGGGTGCTTATATGTATGTAGGGATGACCATTCGATGGCCTTCACAAGCACTTGAGTTCTTTATGTTCATATTATTTATTTAGAGAAATTGGTGAACAAGCGTAAACTTATGATTATTGTACATTTTCCGACATGTATTTCAAAGACAACGAGCAACAGCGAACACATCTTTTCATTGACTCTTCTAGCTTACAACTGAGCTTCTCCTTCTTGTATTTTTATCGATAAATCTATCGTTGATTAAATATCCATAGCAGGGTTGCATATGATAAGTGATTTTATATTACCAAATGAGTATAATGCCAACATTATACTCGCCTGTTTAATTTAACTGATTGTAAGTTCGACCACTCCTAGTTCTGTTTCCAACTCCTACACTCGGCCATCCTGACTCTTCATTCGACCCGAATGACGACTCTTCTGTTAAATTAGCATTTGGCTCCCATTTTTTCATGTATTCTG